TCGGTCGCAATCGCAAGATACAGAAGTCAACAGCGCGCTCAACGCGACATCAGCAAATTTTACTCCTCGGCCGAGCTTGGCCGACGAGTTGGCACGCCCCGCATTCAACCGAAGGACGTAGTTAGCTTATTAATTACTCGGCCTGCGCGCCATGTGGGTTTTGTAATTTTTAGAGTCAACATTTTGGCACGCCCAGTGGGACCTTTGTGCTAAACCTTCGGAGTTCATGACCGTTGAGACACGGTCTACAAAGAAGAGAACAACCATGGGTAGGAGTTGCACCCTGCAAAAAATCCGATCATTGTTGCGCCGCCTGAGGCCACAAGTGTGACACGTCGAGAAAATGAAATCTGTCTCGGCGGGCAACCTCACAACCCAGCGGTCCCGAATCAAACGACGGGCATGTTTGTAGAGGCGATAGTGGAAGATTGCGACGACGATGGTAGGGAAGGCTCTGATCCACCAACTAGGTCGTTTCTTCGGAGACGACTTGATGAACAGTATTGTCAGGTTGAGTAGTCGATTGGTCAAAAGATGAATGATTTACTAGAAGCAATACGAAGTAACAACGATACATAGACCAGAATGCTTGAAATATTGGTTAGTAAAGCCTTCGAAGATGGCCAGGTCGGCCAACCTCGGCAGCTTTCTATGAACGTGCCAATACCAGCCGAGAGAAGGTCCGCCCGACCGCAACCAATCACCTTAGAAAAAAGAGGTGGACCGGGAAATAGATCCGAGGGACCAAGCCAAGGAGAAGAAGCCGCTTCCGTAAACATGACCGAAGTCTAGAGAATGATTGACTCGGCCCTGAAGAAGGGGCCGAAGTTTCCAAAATTCATCTATCCATACCCGGCTTATGTAGAAAGGTTTGAATACCCACGAGGTTTTAAGATCCCTGATTTCAGCCTCTTCGCCGGGGAATCGTCTTTATCCTCATTAGAACATGTGGCTCGGTTCACAGCGCAGTGTGGGGACGTCAATAGCGACTTCTATAAATTACGGCTGTTTAACTTTTCACTGACAGGCTCAGCCTCTCGATGAGGGCGTTTGGCGGGGGCTGTTCGCTCGGTGGCGATGATCCTCTTCATGGAGACCAACTTCTTCGCTCTCGCCACCGCGACGACCACTTCAACCTTCCTCGACACGCGACCCCCTGAAATAGCAAAGTAATTAATAACAAGGACAAGTGATATAAAAAAAAAAAAACAGCGGAAAAGACTATACCTTGGGTCGACTCCTTAGGTTGGGCCGAGGGCGCTGGTCTGGGACGGTCGCCGAAGATTTTGTTCACCATGTCTTCGGCCGGGACGCCAAAGAAGTCACTGGTGTACTCCTCCCACCAGTCCCCGAAGGTGTCGGTTCCCAAAGATTCAGGAACCGTCGGCCGGAGCCGGAATTTCTTGCACTTCTCCTGAAACTCCTGCTCCGACGTCTTGCATTCCCTTTCAGAGGAACCGGAAAGACGCCCTCGACTCAGGAGAGACCGAGAGGCAAGCAGGGGAATGGGGCAACCTTGAAGGTAGCTGAGCTGTCGGGCGACAAAATGGGAATGATAGACCTCCCAGCTGGCTCGGCGGGCGTCGCAACCAAGAGGAAGATCGCGAGCCAAAACGAAAGACCCCCAGCATTGACGGATGTCAGCATCCTCGGACTCGGCCCACGCGACCGTAGGAAGCCTGATCGAGGCAGGGTACTCCTGGCGCCGGCATACCAGGAACTCGTCATCCGAAAGAACGTCGAGGCCGAGGAAGTGTTTAAAGACCTCATTGGCTCGGTGAGGTGGTGCCGGTCGAGAGGCCAGTTGAAGGCCAAGGGCGGCCGATCGTTGAAAGGCAGGAACCTCCAGCCGAAGGGTGGAAAAGTAAACCTGCAACCAAAGTTGGAACACCCAGAGGGGTCCATTCTTGTGCGGGTCAATCTTGCTAATAGTCACCTCAGCCAAGCAACGGTAGAGGTTGGTGAGTATAGCCGGGCTGAGCACCAAGGAGCGACCACTAGCCAGTGCTTGGGCCACCGGCATGTTCTCGACCAGGCATTTGTTTGACCTGGTACAACAGATGAATTTGTTGTACAAGTAGAAGAGGAAGGCCTCGTGTTCTCCCTTCCTAAAGCCTTCCTTGCCTCGGCCGGTGAAGTGAATGATGAAAGTGTTGTAGTTGAAGAAGTTCTTGTGGAGCTTCTGAACTTCTTCCCTTGAGGGCTCTCGATCACCACGGCTTAGCGTCTCGACGGCCCATCGTCGAATAATGCCTTCAGGTCGAGATGAGAGGGGCATCCGGAAAGGGCGGCATCAATGGAAAGGCCAGTTGGAGAAGTCTCAAGGATGGCCGAAATGTCGAGGACTGTGGGGCCGAGAGGGCCGAAAGGCAGGATCATGGTGTGGGTGGCCGAACACCATAAACTCAGGGCCGCTATGAGCAGCTCCTTATCCATGGCAATCTCCATGGTTGACAGAATAATGGCATCGTAGATACCAAGAGCCTTCTACTCCTTGCCAAAGAATGTGCTCATTCGGTCAACCCAGGCGGCCCAGGCCGTGGTGGTCGAGGGCCAGGCTCCCTGAGGCCGCGCCAGAATCCACTTCGACCAGTCGAACCCCTGCAGCAGGGGTATTAAACACTGCTCCTTGAAGAGTAGTGATAGACGACGGCACTGCGTCTCTGAAAAGGGGACCCAGAATCTGGTGGGTAGTGGCCATGTCATTTTCAAATCGCAGCGTCTTGACGGCGCTCCGATCAATGAAATCCTTACATTTGCTGCACTCGTTAGAAAGCTTTGAGATAAAGGAGGCCATTGATGGAAGAAATGATTTGGAGTTAAAAAATGAGGTTGCAGGAAGAAGAACTGGAAGGCTTTGTTTGAACGAACAGGAATGATAAAATTGAGATTTTGGAATTTATGAAGGCGTGAGATGCGAATGACAGAAATGTGGGTATTTATAGGCTTTTCAGAATGAAGATCAAACGTCTGGAATTCGAAAAGCACTGGTTTAAATTGGGGGGAAATTTAACCGGGAAAGGTTCCAATCATTTCGGATATTTTGGGAACCTGCGAAGATAGGAACGAGGGGTCGAAAATCCAGGACACACGATTGCGTGTGGCGACGGTTTTAATGCATTAATTATGATAAGACGCTTCAGTAAGTGCACGATCTCGAGGGCCATGATTGAAAGCTTTTAAGAGCGGCGGAGAATCGACACGTGGCTGTACGTTGGGGGCAACGAGGAGAGTGCAATCATGTCTCATAAATGTGCAGGAGTAATGGTCATTAAGGAAGCAAAGTCCAAAAAGCAATAGGCGTTTCCGCTTCTTCAAGGCCGAGGCCCGACCAAGAGTTAACAGTCGGCGACCTCAGAAGCGAGGGGGCAATGTTTGGGCCCAAAATATTATTGTTAGGCCGAGCAGCGGGATGTGCTTGGCCTAAGGTGATGACAAATACTATGGGCCGAATAATAAATCCCGAGCCAGTTGGCAGGGTCGGCCAAATCCTATCCTAAGTAGTCCGGATAGACAGAAAAGGTCGAGGAAGTCCTGGTGCGACCAGGATTCCCGACCGGCTAAGAATAAAACCTCGAAAGGAAGGAAAATTCAGAATCCCAGTAAGAGTAGGTTTGTTCGAGTTAGAGTTGAAATGGGACAAGGACTCCCAATCCGAGTTAGAATGCGAATTGGTCTCAAGGAATGGGGTGCTATAAATACAAGAAATCATGCAACAGAAAAGGGTCTTCAATCCAGCATACAATTGCCCTGCGTAAAACCTCTCAAACATCTTGAGATTTTTCCTTTTCTTTTCCGCCGACATACCTTCAGTTTGGATAAACAGCACTGTGGAGGCACCCGGCGAGCATCTTCAGTTTGGATAAACAGCACTGCCGCCGTAGAATCAGCCGACCGAGAAGCACCTTCAGTTTGGATAAACAGCACTGCCTCGAAGCCGACCGATTACCTATCTAAGTCTCAGTCGAAGAAGGGTTTTTCAAACCCTTGTTGGTAGGGGTCATCTTACTAGCCTTCTCGGCATAGTTGGGTGTTACGAATTGCATTGCTTGGCGTATTGGACGCCGAGTGATTTTATGATTGGATACTCGCAAGTAAGTTTCAGGGTTCGGCATTCCGACGGCCGAACTACGTTTACCATCAAGACATATATCACATTTGAGTACCTATGCCTATATAGTTTGGTCTCGATTCGGCGTGCTTATACTCTTACGAATATAATCACAGTGACCGAATCAGGCTCCGACGATTTGTGAACTCCGTAGAATTAGTAGCCTTGTCTTCAGGCTATAGAACCCAGAGACCGAGAGCGTTCCTTCCTCGGTCGCAATCGCAAGATACAGAAGTCAACAGCGCGCTCAACGCGACATCAGCAAATTTTACTCCTCGGCCGAGCTCGGCCGACGAGTTGGCACGCCCTGCATTCAACCGAAGGACGTAGTTAGCTTATTAATTACTCGGCCTGCGCGCCACGTAGGTTTTGTAATTTTTAGAGTCAACAGTTTCACAACAATGTACCATATTAATCATATGAACAAGTTGGACTTTTACTACCTTGGCTTGAACTACAAGTCATCCTCTCTAAATTTAGTCCGGTGAAAGTTGATGCTTGGACATGAGTCACATGATGATAAGCCACTTTATCTTATTTTCCACATTCTAATATTGGATAATCAATTATTTTATTACAAATTAAAGACTAAAGAATTTGGAAAATGAAAAATAAAATAAGTTAAAATTGGGTAAGATAGCTGATAACGGACAGCAGACTTGTTCTGATGAGTCTCATCATCATCAGCCACCTTTTACTTTGTCTGTTTCACAACTGAACCTCTTGTCTCTACAATTGGATTGGAATCCCCCAAGTCTCCTCTCTGTCTCTCTCTCTCCCCTTCCAGACTGAACCTAGTCTCTACAGTTGGAAGCCCCCAATTCTCCTCTTCTCTCTATCTCTCTCTCTCTCTCTCTCTCTCCCCTTACAAACTGAAACCTAGTCTCTACAGTTGGAAGCCAAATTCTCCTCTCTCTCTCTCTCTCTCTCTCTCTTCCCCCTTACAAACTGAACCTAGTCTCTACAGTTGGAAGCCCCCAATTCTCCTCTCTCTCTCTCTCTCTCTTCCCCCCCTTACAAACTGAGCCTAGTCTCTACAGTTGGAAGCCCCCAATTCCCCTCTCTCTTCCAAACTGAACCTCTCGTCTCTACAGTTGGAAGCCCCTAATTCTCCTCTCCTCTCTCTCTCTCTCTCTCTCTCTCTCTCTCCCTCTCTCCCCCCTTCCATTTGTGAGCTTTTCTGCTTGGTGGGTTTTGCAGCGTCGGTTAAAGACTCAAACTTTGGCTCTCTCTCTCTCTCTCTCTCTCTCCCCTTCCTTTTGTGAGCTTTTCTGCTTGGTGGGTTTTGCAGCGTCGGTTAAAGACTCAAACTTTGGCTCTCTCTCTCCCTCTCTCTCTCTCCTTCCATTTGTGAGCTTTTCTGCTTGGTGGGTTTTGCAGCGTCGGTTAAAGACTCAAACTTTGGCTCTCTCCCTCCCTCTCTCTCTCCTTCCATTTGTGAGCTTTTCTGCTTGGTGGGTTCTGCAGCATCAGTTAAAGACAAACTTTGGTTCTCTCTCTCTCACTCTCTCCCCTTCCATTTGTTAGCTTTTCTGTTTGGTGGGTTCTGCAGCATCAGTTAAAGACTCAAACTTTGGCTGCTGGTTTATTAACTGCAGAGTTTGTTTGTTTGTTTTCTCAGGAGGAGCAATTCTCTTCCTATTCAACATTTTAAGTTGAAGAGTTTGTTTCTTGAACTTTGTTTTGCTGAATTTTACATGGATTTATTGCATAATTTCTGTTTTTGTTTTACATTTGCTGTTTTCTGCTCTGAATTTGATATTTAATTATCAGTTAATTGAACATGATTAAAGAAGTTAGAATAGAGTTAGGGTTGGACAAATTGTTGCTTTGAGGCCAGTTTCCACGTTCATTGGTTGCATGATGATGATCATTATCTTCTGGGTGGCTAAAACCCTAAAAGTCAATAGCAGGTCTACTTTCTTTCCTTTTTTAATCTTTTGGGAATTGATATTTTGGAAATTTAGTGGATTTCACTTCAACTTTTGATTACTTACCAGATTAGGAATCTATCCCTCCCTAAATTTCCATGCAATTGGTTAGTGGTTTTCGATTTCGGCTCAGTTTAGGGTTTTTGTTCCCACCTTTAGTTGTCCAATTATGCTCAAGATATAGTTGTAAACACGATTTTCTTGTAATCTGGTACTTCCTGTGGCAAATGCTCCTCATACTTTGATTTTTTTTCTTGCCTTTTGCATGAATCAAGTGATTTTCCATTGTTTTGCAACTGCAAAGGGCACTAATTTGTGATGTTCACCAACAGATGTGTTATGCCATAAGCATATTGCAGCGTGCACAAAGGAGATAAAGAACTGCTGAAGAAGTTTTTCCCGTTAAACATGAAGGCGATTTCACCTTTGCCCCTCAAAGATCAGAGAGATAGACCCAAGTTTTTGATTGAGGTAATTCTGCAGCCACATTTGGTACTACTTAATACTGACTCAAAGTTCAGAGATGATTGTAGTTCGACTTTTCTCTGTGAGTCTCTAAAATGTTGAAACTTTTCACCTTTCAGGTTGCAACCAAAGAAAACCAGTTGTGGGGTGTGGTCCATTCCAGAGGACTCTTGAACTCTGAGGTCCAGGACTTGTACTGCGAAGTGCGATCTAGTTATGAGAATCTCATATTGAGTGATCACGAGCAGTTGGAATTTCAAGACATTGAATATTCTTTGTGGAAGCTTCACTACAAGCATATTGATGAGTTTCGCAAAAGAATAAAAGGAAGCTCAGTGAATGCAGAAAGCAAAAATATGGTGGTGCTACGAAATGATATTCATACAGAAGGGTTTAAACTCTTTCTATCAGAAGCAATTGAATTCTACCAGAATATGATTGGGAAGATAAGTAAACGTAAGAGGCTCCCAGAAGAGTCTGTGATAAATAGAAAGGGAGGTGGCGACCTTACTTTCGCAGAGCAGAAAAAGATGCAGAAGTGCCAATTTTTGTGCCATCGCTTTTTGGTGTGTCTCGGGGATCTGGCTAGATACAGAGAACAATATGAAAAGCCTGATGTGCAAACCCGAAATTGGTCAGTTGCGGCCACTCACTACTTGGAAGCGGCAGCAACTTGGTCAGATAGTGGAAACCCCCACAATCAGGTAGATTATTATTTCCCTGAAGATTTTGGTTACAAGACCTAAATTTCTTTATGATATCTGCATGTGTTATTTAAACAATACTCAGTTAAAAGTTACATGTGGGTTTGTTTGCAGTTGGCTGTATTGGCAACGTATATTGGTGACGAGTTCCTCGCTTTGTACCACTGTATAAGAAGTTTAGCTGTTAAAGAACCTTTCCCTGATGCCCGGGGTAACCTTATCCTACTGTTTGAAAGGGTAAAATCTGACAAATTACAGAAACATCTATTGTTTTTAGTCACTAATGTCATATCCTTCTGATATTCATACTTCACAGTTCTCATTTTCTTTTTATGATCTTGCAGAGCAGGTCATCTCATGTATATTCTCTTTCAAGCGAGGCCCACTTTAATTTCTTAAACCCGTCTGAAAGAACCGGTGTTCAGACTATTTCACAGTCGAGCGATGATACAAAGTTATGGTCTCTTATTATTGGAATGTTAAGTTTCTTTCACATTAAATCAAGGTACTCACTTAACCACTATGGAGTGTTGCTACATGTAACTGTTGAATTTGGATGGTGCATCTTTTGTTAGAGTTGTGATCGTCCTCATTTTGTTGTTACAATGTCATTGTGTAATCGCTTATCTTGTCATTGTGATCGTCTTCATTTAATTCTATTCGGTTTCACAATCCATAGCAGCTAAGATTGTAAAACCGAATAGATCTTTAACTTGAGCTTACATTGTTACTTAGGTTGTTAACTTGCTTCACATTGCTTGAGCAAAGTGATGTTTCGACGAAGATTGTAATCAAGGCCATTTAATGTTGGATCATTGGAACTACTTGCATTTGATTTATGCTTGTGTTTCCAATTCTTTATTTACATATCAAATTCTTTGTTGCTTATGTTCTGACGTTCTCTATGGAATTTTGTATGTGGGCAGTGTGGATGAATTCCCCTGTGCTTTTGCGTCTACTATGAGAGAGTTTGATGCACTGATGGCACTAGAAGATACAGAGCTAAAAGTTGCATTGGAGCCATATCACCGTATGGATTCAGTTAGAAGAGGCCCTTTTCGAGCACTCCAAGTTGTTTCTGTACTAGTCTTTACTGTACAGAATCTAATCAAGACCCCGGAAATTAAAGGATCAACTGACAAAATCGATATCCAGCAGAAGGAGCTGACACAATTGGCACTGACTGCAGCATTCATTTTCATGGGGCGGTTCGTTGAAAGATGTTCAGAGGCTGGTGCAGTAGAGACTTGCCCCCTTCTACCAGCTGTGCTTGTTTTTGTGGAGTGGCTAGTCGTCATGCTTGATGGAGCAGAAATGTATGGGGTCGATGAAAAATGCAGAAGTGCGATGTCTTACTTTTTTGGTGCATTCATTGATCTTCTGAAGCAATTCAACCTCAATGAGGATGAGGCCAAGTATCCAGAAGGTACTCCTCTGTGGGAAGACTATGAGCTGAGGGGATTTGCACCGGTAGATTGTGTTCATGCATCACTAGATTTCTCATATCATCTGGAACATATTGACAATTATGACAGCGGAAATGATTGTCGTGCTCAGAGAATCATCAAGGCTGCAATTAAAATTGCAGACAGATCAACTGGTTCTCAAAAGTGGATTGTCTATGACAAATCTCGAAGAAAATTTTCCAAAGTCTATATGGCAGAGTCAAATGAGTATGCAGACGGGAAAGAACCGGGAGGATTCGAGTCCAGCAACTCTGATGGTAAACTGAAAATGCCTAGTCTTCATATCCACGAACCGCTGAAAGAATGCGGGAAACAGATGATTGCTGGGGAAAATCTGAGTTCTAACGGACAATCTGTTGACACGGAAGAGGAAGAAGTTATTCTCTTCAGGCCTCTTACAAGACACAACTCAGCACCACTCAAGATTTCCTCTACTTTAAAGGATCCATACCCTACGAAAGATATGGCGGATCAAAGTGTACCTTCTGATGAGTGCTTGCGCCGTGCCACATCACTTCTTATAGCGCAAAACCAGGCCAAGACTGATCCCTTGTCTTTTCATGCTGATATCACTAATTTTCGGCGCAACATGCCATTTAAACAGCAGGAGCCTTCTGTGAAGGAACAGCCATTTTTGGAAACTCCAATCACAGCCGGGCCTCCCTCTCTTAATGCTTGGGTCCTGGATATAGGAAATTTGAACAGTAATACTGAGAAAAGCACAAGCAAAATGAGTAAATGTGGCTCGAGCTTGAGCCCCATTGAGGAATTAGCTTCGGAATATTTGGATGTTCTGTCCATCAATGAGAATGAATATTCTATCAGTAGTCACGAAATTTCGAGCACTCATTCCTCTTCCTCTACTTATACAACTCCTGTGCCTTCTGCTCCTCTATTGCCAGATGATGCTGTTTGGTTTGATGGTGGAACCGAATCTAGTTTCAGCGACTGCAAAAGCTCTGCGGGGATCAGCATGACAGATAATCTCTGTGACGCTAACGCGTCACATTCACAGGCAGGCAGCTATGCAAACTGGACTGCAACTCAAGCGCTACCTGATTACAGTTCCGGCATTCTAAATTTCATGGATAAGTACCCACCTTGGCATCGAATGACTTCATCAGAATGGCTCCGTCAGTACAGAGAGAGTCTCAACCTTGGCCACCATGCATGGCCAAATTCTCTGTATCCGCCCAGTAACCCCGGAAACTTATATGATTATGATGCTTCCAGGTTAAATCATTTCAACCGATGGGGACATCACGCGGCTTCTAATCCGCCAATGCAGATGAACAACCTGCCATTGAATCCGCCTTTTCCTGGCTACCAAAGACCAATCCCCTACGGGTGTGGCGCTGTGACGGATGTAAGAAACGAGCAGCAGCCGCTTCTGCAGTACCTTAAGGAGAAAGAAAGGAAACTGCAGCATGATCCTGCTGCCAGAGGTCCTAGTTATATGGACAATTGAGAGATTTTAACACGTAAAAGTTGATACGATAGTCTTGAAATATCCATGTCTGCATTTTTGTATATACGTAAGCAAATGAAATTGTGAAATCCTCCTGCAGTCCACAATGTGATGAAGACTAACTTCTGTATATCTAAAAACTCACTTTTTTATTTTTTGACAAATAGCGTTAGTGGATTAAATTGTTAAATGCTAAGAGGAAGGGGATAAGAAGGGATCAAACTTATGCATAAGTATTATTACTTTCTGTCAGTGCGGTATAACGTCATTTGTCTTTTAAAATTTTATACCTAAGAACTTGGATATCTACCATTTGTCTCTTAAAACTTTCCAGGAAAATGCCGTTCAATCCAAACAACAACAATAAAGCCTTTTCTTATTAAGTGGGGTCGGTTATATGAATCTTAAAATGTCATTGCACTCGGTTTTGTGTCACGTCTTCCGTTAGATTCAAGTACTCTTAAGTCATTTCTTAGTCTCTTTCAAAGTCTTCATACGTCTTCCTCTACCCCTTCGGCCCTGAACCTCTGTCCCGTAATTGCATCTTCTAATTGGAGCGTCAGTAGGCATTCGTTTCACATGTCCAAGCCACCGTAACTGATTTTCTCTCATCTGCCCCTCAATTTCGGCTACTTCTACTTTACCTCAGATATCCTTGTTCCTAATCTTATCATTTTTCGTGTGCCCACACATCCAATGAAACATTTTCATCTCTGCTAAACCCATTTTATATACATATTAATGCTTTATTACTCAACATTCCGTGCCATAAAGTATTATTGGCCTTATTGCAGTCTTACAAAAAAATTTCTTGAGCTTCAATCATAAGACGGTCACACCACGGATGCATCCTTCCACTTCAATCCAAGCACAAATAATAAAAAGTTTTCTTTTTCTCCCACCATTTAAAAGTCACCGCTCCAGCTTTCCCACACCTACCCTGCACTCAGATCCTCTCAGCTCGCCAGTCGGCAGTCGCAGATCCAAACCCCGATGGCCGAAAGGCAACCAGAACCCGAACCAATATCGTCGGCGAACGCAGTCTTTCTCGGCGCTCTAGCTCCCGGCGTTAACGTACGCGCACTTTCCCCCTTCTTTCTGTGCGCTTCCGTATTTACTACGATTACGAACAGTTCTTGCCAAAAATGAAAAGGGGTAATCGAAAGTTTGCTTCTTTTTTTCGGGGGTGATTGAATTTTGCAGGGCCCGACATGGACGACGCTGAGATTTGCGTTTGTGATGCTGGGTGTGTGCCTTACTGTGATGCTGGGTTTGGCATTCTCTTCCAGTGACTCTTGGTTGGTTTTTCACGTTGCGTTCCTTGTTCTTATCACTGCGACCCTCTTCCTGCTTCTTAGCTGGTTAGTTCATTGAATATGTATCTCGAGTAAATTACCCACAATTTACTTTTTCCCTTTAAGTTTAGCAGTTTGGTAAATCTGGATGTGGGTGAATGAATGTGGTTCCTCTTTTGTTTAATTTTTATGCTTTTTTTGGATCAATGTGCTTTATTTTTTGAGTAATTTTTTGCCTTTGTGTTATTGGGTATGTAATGGAATTAGTGTGTGTTGTTGATAACTGTTTGTAAGTGTACAACACGGTTTTGGTCGCTGTGTTTTGGCTCAAAATCACATTTAGTCACCGTGATTTCGAATCTTACCAATTTCATCAGCGTATTTTTAACTCCAATTGCTACCTTATGTGTATGCTATAGCTCTCATTGCAACCTATACTTCCTGTTTGATGAGTTGTGCTGGTGTTTGAACATATTAAGTTACTTTGTGAATGCCCCAGAAATGGATTTGTGCTTGCTAATCGGTCAACAATAGTGGTTACTTTGTCATGTTATTAGATTGCGTGCCTTGATTTTAAGGCATAGTAAGTTGTTGTAATACACGGAGGGGGAAAACTTGCTTGATATATGAGCTGCTACTCTCTCATCTTTTTTAGCCCTTATAGTTTATACTTGTAGTATCAGTTAGCGTGTCCAACCTTTTTTTCTACTCGAGGCAGGTCCTTAATTTTCAATGTTTTTGATACAACCGACAGAAAGATTGTTTTGAGGGAGGTTTGAGAGGGCTAAATCATATTTTTGGAGCATGGGTTGGAACTATGGGCACTTGTTATACATATCCCGATGGAATTAGGGGCAAAACTAAGGGTACTCTGTACAAGCCAGCACAGGGCTAAACTTTGCAGACATTATTTTATATATTCTACGATATAAGATAGATTTGATGAGTCTTTACATTTTATTAAGTTGTGTTTCAATGTTTCTGAGGTGATGGTGTTTGGTACACTTTTTCTCATTTGAGGCATGTTTGATTTTGTCATTTTATTTGAAATGCATTAGTGTGGAGGTTAAAATTTGCATGACTTGCTAGAATTTATTATTTCATGGATCCTTCTTGAATTGTGGATTGATTTTATGCTGCAGGTTTCTTGCGCAGACTGGTTTGGTTTCTGTTGAACATCAAATCCGTGAGATGGGCTTAGCGCCATATGATAAAAAGGAGAATAGAGAGGGCGTTGTGAAAAACGAGGAGAAATCCCTTTAAAAGGGCATCTTATACTTCATTCAAAGACAATTACAGTTGTGATACAATCATTTCGAGAGGCATGAGAAGACAACGACAAGGTTGTCAAAACAGCAAGCAGGTTGCTGAAGAGTTCTGCACTGTTTCACGAGAGATATCGACGGGAGGAGTTGCATCTTTCAGTCAGTCTTGGCCTCTTTCTCCTTGTGTTTGCTTGTTTTGGGCTTGACGAAGCAGAAACACGAGCAACACGGGAACTGGAACAAGAACCTCATCTCTCTGATGGTGTTGGGATCACAATGTCTAGAGATCGGTATATATACCGTCCTCCAGCATTGGCTTTCGTTTATTCCGATAAGGATGCTTTCCCTTTACTTTCTGTTTTTATTCTTTTAAGATTAAGAGATGCCTAGCGTTGCTTCTCCATTTGTGTCATCATTATCTTTATGTAAGGAAAGGAATAGACTATGTGAGGCATAAAGGCAACGAATATATAGTGGGATTTAACATAGTAGGTTGATCTTTCTGGTGGCTTTCTTGGAGAAATTTATGTAGACTGCCACGTGGTGTTACAATGTTACGAGCTTTTACCAAAAGATATTGATTTTCTTTCCTTTGTTTTAGTAAAAAAAAAACAAAAGTTTACCGAGTTATTTTTCCTAGTGTTGAGCCCATTGAATAAGCCTACTCCGTGGGCTCAACAGGGAAACGACCATTCTTAGAATTGTGAAAACAATTTTACGAGCTTTTACCAAAAGATATTGATTTTGTTTCCTTTGTTTTAGGAAAAAAAAAAAAAAGTTTATCGAGTTATTTTTCCTAGTGTTGAGCCCATTGAATAAGCCTATTCCGTGGGCTCAACAGGGAAACGACTATTCTCATAATTGTGAATAACTAGGTTTAGCACCACTGAACGCTTCACAATGTTTGGTGGTGGAAGACGTCCATTTTATTGCTTTAGTTTTGGCATAGTGTCCTAGTTTTTTATTTTATGATTCATTTAGTAACGGATTGGCTTAGGTTGGCAAAACTTGATTTTGAATAGGATGCAGGTTTGTCCCGGAATCCGTACAATTTTGAATTTTCCATGTTAGGTAAACTTGCTAAAAGAGGAAGACATACCTCAAATAACTATGGAGCTTTTACTTACACTTACCAATCCAATTGGCTAGCACAATATTTGCACTAAACGAATAGTGTACGGCAAAAAGGGGGAAATTCTGGGTGCGGCTAGTTGTGCCACCTTACTCTACCATCAAACAATCTCGCTAATCCCTCTTGCATATTGGCCTCACTCAGCCCCTCTTGGTCGAGCAATTCTTTGTCCAATGGTTGGACAGCGACCAAAGGGAGAGTAGTGAGACCAGAGGAGTTTGGTGGGCCTTGAAATTGGGCAGGGAGGGGGTGGTGGTGGTTTGGGTGGGCACAGTTGGTTTCTTGGGTGTGGTGTTGTATTGCTGACGGGGTCTAACGTTTGGACCCCAAAATTTCTCTTTTTGGTCTCATCGAACAAGTAATTTGGAGGGGCAATCAAGGCAACGGATTGCTAAGTGGCGCATGTTAATGTCGTGCTAAATTTTCTTTTAGATGACGACTTACCTCATTGGAAAGAAATCATGCCTACGTATTCTACTACCGGATCGACTCCCCCACTTGGTTCTCCTTCTCCTAACAACTAATTATTTAACCCACTAACACCTCTATTGAAAAACAGTAGTCAAAGGTATTCAATCAATTTTATAAATTTCTACAAAAACCTTCATAAAATTTATTTTTAAGCAATTCGCCACAACACGTTAATAATATGCAAGCCTTGGGGTATGAATCTTTCTCTAGTCGCATCTCTATATGAAGGTATAATTATCAATTTCTTTAATCTCACCCGTTCATTTCAGGAGATTCTCCGGAAACATGATAAGCCTACACCAAGTTTCTACATCAAAAGCTTCATTGAAAACGAAAAAAATAGGGGAAAGGGGGGGGGGGGGGGGGGCGCGGCGGCGGCTTGGCTCTTATAAGTTTACGACACGAGGCCTGCACTACAAGAATTTTGATGTAAAAAATCTACAAGACAGAACAACTGCTTTTGCTTAGTTCTGTTCAATCACTTCCAAAGCTCTTCCATCGGGATACCACGCTCACGAGCGACATCACGGAACTGCCTCATTTTCTGTACTGCAACCACAGTGGCTCTAGCATTGTTGAGAGCATTCTTACTTCCAAGTTGCTTCCCAAGAGCATTTTCGACACCTGCCATTTCGAGAACTATTCTCACTGACCCTCCGGCAATGACTCCAGTACCAGGCGAAGCAGGCCTAAGCATCACCTTTGCTGCTCCATAATCTCCCTCGGATCTGCGATTTATTAGAGTCAACAAAATAGGAGATGCAAAAATTTGAAGAATAGGAAGGCAATCGCTTCTGTCCGATCATCAATAACTGCATTCAATTTTGGGACCATGATAAGAATATAAACAGTCCCTATCAAAGAAAAGAATGAAAACAACCTTTTGCTCCCTAACGTGTTCCATCAACAATCACACAAAGCTCATTATAGTTTGTTTCTCTCAATCGGAGAGAGCTTACTTATATTGTTAAGACCAAAAACAAGATGAGTGAAACCCTTTTGGGCTGAATCATATAATGCTTCTTCTCGGAACCACACAAGCCAAACAATATATATTATCCTTGCTCTCAAAAACACTGGATCAACTTCTGTTTGAATTGAACAAAGTTATGCACATTTAATTCGGACTCGCCCAGTATAATGACAATATTGCTAGTAGTCTAAATTAACCTCACAATGACACCTACTTCGATACTCCTGAAAACGAATTTCCACTTCCCGAATAATTAAAGATTACACTCAAAAGTTCAATAGTGCAACGTCATATTTAACTAAACTTTCAATTCTTATGAACCCATTTAAAATCGTGTATTGTTTGCACCAGAAGACCAATCTGTCAGATCGAATGAGAATCCACATAATTTCATTCATGGTTTACACCTTCTGGTGTCATTTATCAACTCACTTCCTAGGCTACACGTCAATGCTCTCAAGCACGAGACACTGTACGTGTATGGTCCTTCCCATATAACTGCAACAACCTACTGATTCACTGGTTATTGATAAATATGTACTTCATCCATCCCAAATTGTGCTTGTCAATATTAGAAGACACTTCCACAAGAAAATGTATGGTGAACAGACGACTTCAAGTGTAAATGACACTTAACTGACTCACCAAATATCAACCATAAGACTCGGAGAATACATACTACTTCACGTTTAGCGTGCATGCAATGTGATCAAACCACATACACAACCAATTTCAACTCCCCATATTGTCTCAGACCTCAGACTCCAAGTTTAACCAATCACCATCCTGTCTCAAATATTTCTCACACTGATATGCAGTCTATACTCAATTCTAAGAATTTGCAGTTACATTCGATTTCAGTTCCTATTAATTCCTATATGTAGAACTTTCCACACCATCAAATGACCAAAAGTATCATTTTTCACACAATTCTGACACAATGTCATTGAAATAAACCCAACTGAAATACAGAATTGACCACAAATACGCAGATAGCCAAATATAGCCCGAAATGCAATGACATTCAATTCCACATAAAATGCAGTATTTCCCACACAACCAAAAGATCGAACACAAACAATTCAAACAAAAATAAATCGAAATGGCAATACCTGTGAGGAAAAGTCAGGTACTTGGTCATGGGCACACTGATAATGTTCCTTCTAGCATTCACCGCAGACTTCTGCACCGCCCCGATAACCTCCTTGGCCTTCCCGACGCCAACACCCACATTGCCCTGCTTGTCGCCAACCACCACAATCGCCCGAAAATGCAGCTGCTTCCCTCCTTTCACCACCTTCGTCACCCTCCTCACCTGCACCACCCTCTCCTCGAACCCATCTCTAATCTTCTCCTTCTTCAGCTTCCCAAAAGCCCCAAGCTTTTTCACCTTCGAGTCCATCACGTAAATGTCGTTCCCCAGCATGGTCACGCCGCTGTACGCCGGGCCGTACAGCACCTCGTACGCGGCGGCGATTTCGTCCTCGGTCTCGGTCGAATCCTCATCGAAGGAAGGCGGGGGGACGAAGTCTTCGGGGACCTCCGGGGGCTCGAACACGCCGTCGAATTCGGGGTCCTCGTTGTCAAAGAAGGAGGTCTCGACGTCGGAAGCGGCGGCATTGAAGATAACGGTGGTGGGTCGGGAAGAGGAGAGGAAGAGGGAAATGGGTTTCCTGGGTTTGGTTGCGGGGGTGGCTGCGGCGGTGAATGGGAGGAGGGAGAGGCGGGGAGAGGGGTGGAGAGAGAGGGAAGAGAGAGTGGAGAGAGAGGAGGAGGTTGTGGAAATGGCCATGGCGGGAGGAGAAGTGAGGGGTTGGAGTACAGTGTGGGGATTTTGGATCAGAGAGACTTATCCCCCGAAAGGTAGAAGCTTGAATTTTCGTCTCAATAATTTAGATTAGTTTAATGAAATTGTTATCGGCATTCTAAAAATCACTTCGTAAGTAAATTTTTCTTTCTAAATATAAAAAATTTTGAATGCTAAAATGAGATTTTTGAAGTGTTAAGCAAGTAAAACTAAATTTGATTTCATTGGGAATGAAATTGACATCAGAACATAAAAATTAACATCACATCAATATTTTTTTTTTTCCTATATCTTCTGAAGCACATGAAACAATTGACAATATCCTGTGCCAGAGAAAAAGAACTCAACCATTCAGTTCTCTTGTCGTCAGCTGCGGCCCCGTTGCGATCGAAGAGGCGATAGTCACATATACTTGTAGTGGTCGACTTCTGGGAGCGTCCCAAGGCCTTTGTAGCAGTCATCGAACTCAGGCTGATCATCATTTACCATCCTCACCATTGCTCTACTCTGTGAAGATGATAACGATGAAGGATCGATTCCTGCAGACAATGTGGACGGTGGTTTGGTAGATGTCTCCATATGGCAATCAGCGATGTTGTTGGACAAAGTAGTAGCTTCCTCATGTTCCATATAGGCTGATGAAGAAGCAGAGATCACAGACAAAGCATCCGCGAAAACGTTAGCTTCTTGCTCTTGCTTAAGTTGTTCCATAAGTAGTTCTAGAGATAATTCGTCTTCTTCGTAGCCAGCTACATAGGTAAATGGTGAAGGGGAAGGTGAAGGTGAAAACAAGTTTGAGGCCACATAGGGGTTACTTCTATGGGTTTTAGCATCGGTGTTGGGAGTTTTGTCATTGGTGTTGTCGGCCTTGAGATTGGTGTTAGTTTTTCTGTTGTCGGTATCGTTGGCCTCGAGGCTAGTGTTGATGTTGGCGGCTTGGTCTGTATGGTTAGTCGTAGTATTACGCTGTTGAGAAGAGGAGGGCTCAGCTACACGCACTGGCCTTGGCACCTTTTCTACGTAGATGTACTGTTTCCTCGCATGGACGAAAAAAGCAGCTTAGTTAAGATAACATCATATTAAGAGAAGCAAAACAGTCTAATTATTATTTTCAGGGGATTATGGCCCACTGAACTGAATTCTACACATAATCCAAGCCTAAAACTCCTGTTTCAGTCTTCCTGCCAACTAATTAGAGCCGTTTCTGAACGCTTGGTTCAATGTGCAACATACTCGTGCTACACCAGTGCTTTACAACGCATAATCTACTAGGCGCTGATCAATGGTCATCCTATTCTATCCATATATTATGTACCTTCACACTATCCTCCAGAGGATATCGTCATCATAACGTAAAAAGTTATTGTCACAAGGCATGCAGTTCAGACCCTTCAATTTGTATTCAACTTTCGAAATCCTACTTTAATTTGCAACAGATTCTGTATTAATTAAGGACGAAAAGAGGACTCACAATGTTCTTGCATTCATCCTCGTAAAGATAAATGCAATCTCCCGCCTCCAGCCTTTTTTGCCTAACAAAAGCGCCTGTTACATTGAAAATAAGGATACTCAGTAAACATGACATATCGTGTGTTTGTCAATGAACATTAAGAGCAATGCCATCGATTTTTACTTTTTACCTGTATATTCGAACACATACATTCTGCTTCTGTTATTTGACCAGTACCTGTGTAAAATTAACCAAGCAGAAAAAAATGGCTTTAATTAATTGGCAGAAAACTCTTGCACAGATGGTTTGGCATTAAAATATAAAATTAATAGTATTGTCTATACGCTTACTTGTATTTGAACTCCCAATGCTGGTCGGAATGTACATCTCTGACAGTCAGCTGGATGCCTTCTTTGTCGGAGAGCATTGGAAGGTTATTTTCGGCTTCTTTCTGTGAATGAGGAGAAAACATGTAAAGAGTAAATGTTGGTGCAAAAACTTAGAAAGGAGGAAGGGATTTTTTACTAGGCAGTCTAAATCAGAAACATTTTGCAGTAGTCAATAAAAGTGAAAGACATCAAAGTAAGAAGTTGGTTGGTCCGCCTTTTTAGTTCTTCTCTTCCGTCATCGTTTCTCAGAAAAGGAAAAACAAAAAGACGTAAAAGGAACAGAAAGTACCAAAACAAACAAAGACCTCACCTTCGGTACTATAATCCTGCCCAAAGGTCCAACATCACTATTCTTCAACTCCTTGTTAAACAGCGGTCTCAGTTTCTGTAAATAAGAATACACAGAAATAATAGTTTAAAGAAAAACTCATTTGAAATTCAGATTTGAGAAGACAAAAGATCAATCCATACCTTGTTATCCGGCGTGCAGAACGGGTAGAGCTGTTCTTTGGGGTTCTGCAAATCAGCACCATTACCAGATGATGAAGTGGAAATGATTCCACAAGTATCATCATCATGATTCCCATGAAATGGAGGATGCCTGCTCACTGGGGGAGAACAAGTAGAGGAAACAGCAGTATTGGCTGCGTTTCTGCTCAAACTGAGACTCCTCTGTCTTGCCATCTTTCTCTCGTTTCTTGCAGACTTAGACATAAGGGCATCCAATATCCATCTGGATCGGTCTAGGCTGGCCTGTTCTCTGGATAGAACCATATTCGGTTGGGCGCCGCCCAGGAATGGATACATGGGGAGACCCGCCTGATGGTTCGGGTAATAATTTCTTGCGTACAGGAGTGCCGGGTAATACCTGTACTGAGTGGCTGAAGGACTATAAGTAGTTGAAGGCAAACAGCTCATTGGTTCACAAGTGGAGGACTGCGAATTATTTGTCTGGTGAGTAGAGGTTACGGTCGTTGTAGAGGGGACAGAAGGTGGATGGAAGTTTTCCATTGTCTATGAACACAGAGCGTTTGTTGATAGCGATGATCTTCAGAGAGGTAGGGGCTGGTTAAATCTTTGTGTTGGTGAGGGTGGGGTTGTATAAGCCGCAGGCCGTGGTCTAGTTTGTAAACTTGTGATGCTGCCAGTGGAGAGAGCACAGGTGTGGCCAAAGCGAGAAGAACACGTAAGGGGGTGCAGAGGAGTGGGGTAAAGAACGTGAGGGAACAAAAAGAGGATAAAAGAATTTAAAGAAAAGGCTGAGGAGGAATGCCAGAGAGTGAAGATATTGGGTTGAAAGAAAGAGAGAGTACATTGGCAGTGTTGTGGAAAGTTTGACGAGGTGAGGAATGAATGACAAGTGGCCGGAGGCTGGTGGTTTTGGAATAGCCATCTGACCAGTGTGTAAAAAGAGAACAGAATCAGAGAAAGGAAGAGAGAAGGGAGAGTTAGAGAGGATGCAGAAGAGAGTGACATATTCTGGCGCCTCTTTTAGTTCAAATCTGGCAGACTAGGGCTACGACTGTATGGACATATGTGGAGCCATACTCCTCCATCCTTTTCTCGCACAGAACGCCATGGAAAACCAGGGCTACCACATACAGTCATTGCCTTCTGCCAAACCACATTTTCTAGCTCCTTTGCCTCTCTCACTCTCAAGACTCACACCCTTTCTCTCTCTAAAGCCAGCATCCCAAGAGCAACTGGTGGAGGTGGATTGGCCTGTCAGTGTTAGCTTATAAACGTTATAAAAGGAAGAAGTAAAGGGACTGCTATCTCCAGAGATGATTTCCTCTCTTTGCAACCGAACCCCACAGCGAGTAGTACAACAAGTACCACAAACGCCATACGAGACAGACTGAAGCCCAACATTGCAAATTAAGGCCTCCCCTGAAATAGCAAACCCAGAACTTCCCCTCTTAAGTTGTTGTATTTAAAATTTTATATTAATATTTTTTTTAGTTAGAGGGTTAGAGGTCGTAATGTTAGGGATGTGAGTAAACGATTGTCATAATGTTGGGAATGTGAGTAAAAGGGGTAGCACAACCTGATGAGCTCAATGGAACTTGTGTTTTCATTTTCGTCGTCCACTGAACCACTTCAACTTCATGGTTGGATTCCATGTCTTGCTTGCTTGTCATTTCTTCAATCACAAGGCGAGAATCAAAGCTGCTTTTGAGTCCATCCTACATCCAAAAAAAAAAAAAAAAAAATCTCCTTAGCAATTTCGTGGTTGCATAAACATAATCTGTTTGACAACAGAAAACTATTGAATTATATAGTGCCTTGCATTATTATTTTTCTTCTCTATTCCCATGCGTTTGCCATCTGTATCCACTAACGAGGCTACTATCTTTGCTTTTGAACAAAATTAGAAGCGAATTAAACTTAAGATTTTGCTATTTCATGAGCTTCCTTTTTAGAGTACGATTTTGATATCCTCCGACTCCCTCCATAAGGTAATAGAAAGGAAACTTTGAACAGGATCACTGACAAAATTTAAGCATAGAAGGTAATCCAAACAGCACATAAGCATGCTGGAGATCCTAACAGAGGCCTGCTAACTTAAGCCATTTATACAAATTCACACATGGTACCTGCTGAAAAAAGAAATTCATGTATATATCATATCAAAGCGGAAAATTAGAAACCGTATCATAAAAAAGCCATATGAATGCTGTATTGCTGCCTAGTACTTACAGAGTTGGCCACAGAATAACTGTGGAAATCACATCGACTAGGAAACTCCATGACAACAATTTGCTCGTATATTCATCACCAGGATAGTGAAAACTTCAACTGCTTCCACAAGAAAGAAGCTTTAGCAGATTTATATCAATAACGAGGAAGAAAAAACTTGAACACTGAATTGTGATAAGACCGTAGGATAACTAGGATTTTTATAGAAGTAATAAAGAGGCTCGACAAAAATGCATGCAAACCAAACATGCTTAGGTGATTACACCTGCCCCAGATGGTTGTATAGATGTTGATCATGCAGAAAAATGCTCGACTTGTGGAATGTGGATGCATAGAGATTCAACAAGGTGCATGCAAACCAACACCTGCCCTAGACAGTTTTATAGATGTTATCATGTTGATCACGGAGAAAAACGCTCAACCTATTCAACGTGGATTCATATCAAGGTGAGAAAGTAATTTGAGAAGCTGCATGCAAGCCAACACCTGCCCCAGGCGGTTATATAGATGTCAATCACGGAGAAAAACGCTTAACCTGTTCAACGTGGAAAGAACTGATGGTCGAAAAGACAGATTGGTAAGTAAATCAGTTTATCATGGGAAATGATAAATACACACAATTTTTCTCCTCCTACAACCCCTGTTTATTCTTGTCCATTGTTTCCATTTGATTTATCTAATCTGATGGCCAGTAATAAAGAAGGGTGTGAGAGATGCTAAAAAGGGTGTGAACAGCTCCGTTATCATTTATGTCCGCTCCTCTTAATTTATTTCAAGTAAGTGAATTAACAGGAAGGATATCATTAGGTTTTAGACTATCTGTTAGAGATTAGTTCTTATAAGGTATGAACGAAGTGAGGTTTAATTCCTTTTAGGGAGGAGGAGCAATAAAGAAGGATTCAATATTTTTCTAATCATGATGTAATTTTTGGACAAAATTCTAATATAGGTGAGTGTGCTAATTCGGTGCAATGCTATATTTTGTTTGCTCTAGATCTTGAATTCAAGCATAACACAGTATTCAACAATAATACATTAAATCTTCAAAAGACAGAAATCTAGACCAACATGACAATTTTGTAAAAAGCTCCAGGGACAATAGGATCGGAAACGCCAAAGAAGCAAATGGGGTCATATTGAGAGATCTAACCCATTACAAGACTACCTATAACTGATCCTCCTGCAAATAGATACTATGTAGTCCTACCACATTCAGTGGACAAATACTGTTAACGCAACCACGACAAAGTATTAGCTATCACCAAATCTATAGAAAGTCTGGAAATATATGTAGAACATATTCATGAAATTTGAAGAAAATGATAAAGGCCAAGAGCAGGTGCATAAATGACGTGATTTATAGAATTTTGGAGCAATGAAGCTTTTGTTGGTTAATTTTCTCAGAAGACGGTCCCAAAAGTATAATGCTAGAAATGTTTACGCACACAACTATACGAGAACCTAAATATATCATTAGCAGTCAATCCAATTTGAGCAACTGAAAACTGAAAACATAAACATTAAATATTCTTGTTTGAACTTTCAAATTAAAAAAATTTAATTCAAACACATGGGCAAGGGAATCCTTCACAAATATAAGTTCCCTTTACAAAACTAAGGTAGTCATGCCTTGTACAGATAGATACGTAGATATGATACTCGCAGGAGATTACATGAAAGCTAAGCAAAACCAATGTGGAACTAATGAACATATAAATGAGTCAGGGGTAAGCACCAAACCAACTTATCACAAACAATGTGAACAATTTGAATGGCGGAAGATAGCTTCTCCTCCTAGATATCTGTATTGCTTGTATCTGCAACTGCAATGCATGCATAACTTCCAGCCACATTTACTTGTTTTACAGAATTTCAATTGTTCTTTTTAATGATAGTACAATTAGAACTAAGCATTATTGCTCTTCAAGTGTCCTAAAAATACTCGAATTTATAGTCACTCGCACGAGCAGCCTGTATTCATACTTTTGTTTCAGTAATGCAACATTAACAAAAGATACTTGTTTGTCAAATTACATGACAATGCTCTACTTTATAATGTAACCATGGTTTACCAAAACTAATAGAAAGTTTAAACCGTTGGCTGCTAGCAACCAAAAATATGACTTTTCCAAGAAAAGTGCAGAATGACTTTTTTGAAGTGCAAATAACAGCTTCCGCCAACTATTTATCTGAAGAAATCTAATGCATTGAAGCTTCAAAGCCGCATAGATTTGCACATACAAAGCTAAACATGGAAGAGAGACACCAATTAACAACAAACCTCAAAAGAGTATAAGCTTCCAAAATCAAATCAACCAAATGAAGCTACTTTTATGTGATTAAATAATAAAAAGACCCATCAACTCATAAAGCGTAAAGAACAAATCTTTAGCGGGACCCCTCAATTCCCAATTCAATCAAATTCTAGGGATTTAAATACGAACTTGTTAATTGAGAGGGATATGTGAGTAAAAGTAAGCAAAGAGAAGAACTTTTGTCAGTACCTGAAAACGGTGGACTTCCGGAACTAGCCTCGAAGGCAGTCGTACCGGAGCTCCGGAGGAATGTGCCCCGATTGGCATTTTTGCCTGACTGAACCGTCGGAGCAGTAAAATCCCTCCACCATTTATTACCATTCTTGCTCTGATACAGTGAATAAAATTGGGTTGTGAATTTATGACTATTTCCGAACTCTTCTAATCTGCAACTCCAAAGCTGTATTCTTTTTTCAACTGTTTTTATTTTACTGTTTTCAATTTTACCGTGTTATTATGGTATTTCATTCAGTTAATCATCCGCTAAAATGCTCACTCCATTACCACTTAATATGGTCTCGTGACAGAAATTTTATGTTCGATTTTCAATAAAAATAAATTTGAATCATATTATTGTTAGTATATTATGGGTGCGTTTGTTGCACCGAACTATCTCGAACTGGACTAGCTTTAGAGCAGCTCCACCGGAGCTTTTTTTGCCCAGCACCAAGTCCAAATAACAGCCAGGCACCCAGTCCATTTGCTCCAGCCCGCAACACAGCCCGGCACCCAGCCCAAGCCAGGCAGCAGGCCAGCCCATTTCGGACAGACCCAGAAGCCGGTCCAAATGGCTGGCGCGTGCACGACACTCGCGACTGGGCGCGAGTAGCCGACAGTGTCGCAGGCGGTGGGGCCCGCGTGCAGGGCAACTTGCAGTCATCCGGGTGAGGGCTACGTGGCCCTCCTCAAAGCCGTTGGATTTCCAACGGCTAGTTTTTGTAGGCCGTTGGATTTCCAACGGTAAAAAAAATTTAAATTTAAATTTTAAATTGGACCGTCCGATCAAAGATCAACGGTCCACGTTTATTTGACCAAAAATTTAAAAAAAAAAAAAAAAAAAAGGCCCAACGGTCAGAAATTTGACCGTTGGCCACGTGGTAGCGTGTTGGCTGTTGGATTTGATTATTTTTCAAATCCAACGGTCCAGATTAATTACAACATTAAAATTTATTAAAAATTAATTAAAAAATGTCAAAAAAAATTTAAAAAATACAAAAAAATTGTAAAAAATTAATTTTTTTTTCCTATAAATACCTAACCCTCATCTTCCACCTTACACCACATTTCAATATTTTCTACACTTTCTACATTTGAATATTTTGTACACTTTGAGAGAAAAAAATGACTTCGTGGAAGCTCAGTGAAGATGTTACGTTGTGTGAATGTTGGGTTCGCACTACTCATGACCCGATTACGGGTAATGAGATGGATAAGCGAGAAATGTGGAGTAAAATTACGAAATCGTTCAACGATGTACATGGAAAAGATGTACATGGAAAAGATGCCAGATCTAGTCAAGGTCTTCAAGGTCGTTGGAAAAAACTCAACGCATCCTTTACTTGTTGGAAAAACGCCCTCTCTCATGCTTCTGGTAATTTGCGTAGTGGGACAAGTTTAGCGGATGAGGTAACAATATTTTTATTTATTTATATGCATTCCACCCACATCAATATTTTAATTTATTTAATTTCTTATGTAATTTTTATGTAATATGCATTCCAAATACTTATGTAATTTTTATGTAATTTTTATGCATTCCACAATTCTTATTTAATTTCTTATGTAATTTTTATGTAATATGCATTCCAAATACTTATGTAATTTTTATGTAATTTTTATATAATTTTTATGCATTCCACAATTCTTATGTAATTTTTATGTAATTTTTATAGACACTACAAGCACAAGCATTCTACAATGCAAAGAACCATAACAAATCATTCAACAAATGGGAATGTTGGCAAATTGTCAAAGATTGCCCTAGATACAAAATTGTGGCAACCGGTCCAGAAGTTGTCATGCACGGTATGGGTCTACACAGTTCGCCAGAAGCAGACACAGCCGAACAAGAAGCCAACACATTTGAAGACACGGAAGGGATGCCTGAACAAGTGCCAGAGACCCAACCGACTCGTCAGTCCCTCAGACCTCAAGGTAAAAAGGCATCAAAGAAAAAAGGTAGTTCTTCCAAAAATGACTACACTAAATATATGGAGGAACTTACTCGTCAAGGTGAAATGAACATGGCATGGGAAAAGGCTAGAGATGAGGAAAAAGCTGCTGCTGTGGCAGCAATTATTGCAGCTACTGAGGCTCGTGATGCGGCGTCTGAGAGACAAAGAGAAATAGTTAATCGAGAGAACGAGATGATTAGAGAAGCACTTCATCGAGAGAATGAGATGCTTAGAGAAGAAAGGATGGCTCAAACAGATCGTGACACTATGAACAAGTCTCTAGTAGGACTGTCTCCGAATTCAAAATATTTTTGGACATCAGAAAAAAGAGATGTCGTGTGAATGAGGCGTGCAAGAGATGCCGAAACAAGTCAAGGGGGTTCCAGCTACAGAAATCCTAGCAACCAAGATCCTAGCACCACATATCCTAACTCCACAGACTTTGTATAATTTCGCATTTATTTGTACTACTTTATTTAATTTCTTATGTAATTTCTTATTTATTTTTAGAACTTTATTTAATTTCTTATGTAATTTCTTATTTACTTTTAGAACTTTATTTAATTTCTTATGTAATTTCTTATTTATTTTTAGAACTTTATAAGATTTCTTATGTAATTTCTTATTTACTTTTAGAACTTTATTTAATTTAAACTTAAAATTACATAACCTCACCATTTAAACTTAAAAAAAAAAACCATTTAAACTTAAAACACCAAATAAAATTACATAAAACACCATTTAAACTTAAAACACCATTTAAACTTAAAATTACATAACCTCACCATTTAAACTTAAAACACCAAATAAAATTACATAACCTCACCATTTAAACTTAAAAAAAAAAGCAAACACACTAAATAAGATTACTTAAAAAACAATACACTTTATTCTTCAACCACAAGCCTTATTTTAATTATCTTCGCCTTCGTGCAATCTCCACTGATGGTCAATCAAGTCATTCTGGCGGGCTATGTGCCAGTATGGCTCTTGCAATGAAGTGTATCGTTGAACGATCAATTCATTGTAACGTCCATCCCGTTCCAACGGCTCGTGTTGCACGGGATCTTCGGTCCGGTCATGAGCATAGTAGATTTGTATTCTTAAGTTGTTCATCGGATCTGGCTCGTATTCATCGACGGCATCATAATCATACTCGTCTTCAACAATCATGTTGTGGAGAATAATACACGTCATCATGATGGATCGAAGAGCCTCGACATCAAACATTCTAGTTGCACCCCTGACAATGGCCCAACGAGCTTGCAGGATACCAAAACAACGCTCGACATCCTTCCTACACCCTTCTTGACACTTTGCGAAGTGTTTATCTTTTTCACTCTGCGGGTGTGACACTGTTTTGACAAATGTTGACCACCTTGGGTAAATACCATCTGCAAGGTAGTATGGTCCCTCGTATTTAGTACCATTAACCCAATATGTGCATCTCGGCCCACGCCCTTGTAGCAGTTCGTCAAACACTGGAGATTGGGTAAGGACATTTAGGTCATTCTGAACTCCTGGAACACCAAAAAAAGCATGCCAAATCCATGTATCAAAAGAAGCCACCGCTTCCAAAATGATGCTTTTGGCTCCTTTTATGTCGCCATAAGCTCCTTGCCACGCACTTGGACAGTTTTTCCATGTCCAGTGCATGCAGTCGATGCTTCCAATCATGCCAGGGAAGCCTCGCATCTCACCCTTCCTCAGAAGCCTTCGCATGTCCCTTGGCGTGGGTTGCCGAAGGTACTCATTGGTGTAGAGGGCTTCAATTGCAGAGCAAAACCGCATCAGGGACTCCAGAACTGTTGTTTTTCCCATCCTTGCGATCTCATCCACTTGATCTGCAGATGCTCCATATGCAAGCATTCGCAAGGCAGCCGTAATTTTTTGCTCAGGAAGAAGACCTAGCACATGAAAAGCATCCTCTTTTTGCACAAAATATGGATCATGGTTGCAAACATCACTCATGATTTTAGCGAACAAACTTCGTTGCATTCTAAAACGACGTCTAAAAACATGATCAGGGTAAACGCTGTTGGGAATAAAATAATATTCCAAGAGATCTTTACCTCGTCTTTCCCTTCTTCTATCGATGTTTGCCGCACGTCCGGGTTTGGCTATCTGACCCATAGCTTGCATGATACGGCGGGAATGTGAGGCCCTCCGCCTTCTATGGTGATCATCCTCATCCTCCTCCATTGCGAAGACCTCATCTCCACCTCCATCTTGGTCAAGATTGACCAATTCTTCCTGTTGTGCCAACAACCTTTTCTGCTGCTCTTGCAACTGTTTATACGCTCTCCTTGAAGAAGACATTGTAAGAACTCAAGATTTGAAAACGATAAAGAAGAATTCTGAGCTAAAAAAAAGGATTGAGTTTAGTGTGAGGATGGATGTAGGGATGTAGGGTTTATATGGACAAAAAAGAAGAAGATGAGGTTCTGAACAATGCCACGTGGCACTACGTGATTGGTTGAAAATCTTAGCGGAAATCTATTCAAAAAATAGTACGTTCGGATAATGACACGTGGCGTGACGAGATTGGTTAAAAATCTTATCGAAATCTTGCCTAAATTATTGTAAACAGGAAGTGACACGTGGGTTGTCGGGATTGGTTGAAAATCTTAGCGGAAATCTATTAAAAAAATAGTACGTTCGGATAATGACACGTGGCGTGACGAGATTGGTTAAAAATCATATCCGAAATTAAAACTATTTTTTTTTTATTATTTTATAAAAAAATTATTTAATATTTTAAATGGACTGGGTGCCAGCGCATTTTGTAGGGGTGGAGATCGTTTGTGCCAGCGCATTTTTAGACTAGGTGCCAGCACATTTTTTTTTTGGGTGGAGATGCTTTGGCCTATTACTGTTCATTGAGTCTGTTACTGTTCAATTAAGTGGATAAATGGGCTGGGTGCTGGCGCAAAGTGGATAGGGGTGGAGTTGCTCTTAGGGACTAAGCTAGATTGGCTTAGAATAGACTAAGGTGGACTAATTTAGTAAAGCGTTTGATGTTGTATCGGACTAAAAACAGGACTCATATATTATATTATTAAATTTATATTTACAATATTTTATTATTAATTTAATCTATATATACTAATATTTTATTATTAAATTATCATTTTCCTTTCTAGAACTATCTTCCTTCTTTTTATTTTGATCAAGCTCTGATTCATGTTCCTCTCTCATTTTTTTTGTCCGCCCACTGCATCCCTCCCCTCTCCCATTTCTCTGCCATTTTATCTGTGGCACTTCAAATCTTTCTCTGCCTCTTTTATTCGAAGATTTTACAAATCTCTCTCTTCCTCTTCACTGCAAATCTCTGTCTGCCTCTTCTATTCCTCTCACAAAATCCCTTGCAAATCTTAAAATCAAACCCAAGAGCAAGAACGAAAATGAAAATTTGGGAGTTGGAGGCGGGATGCATGCGTGAGTGGCTCGAAGGTGGGGAGATGGGGTTGAATCTGCTTTCGGTTTCTCAGTTTTTTGGGTTTTTGGCTTTTTGGATTTTTTGGTTTTCTGGGTTGAAATTTTGGGAGTTGGATTTGGTATTGAAAAGGGAAGGGCTGCAGATCCACGAAATGAATTTACAAAAACTCCATGAAATGGGTTTCTCAAAGAAGAGTTTCTAACCACAGATCCATGGTGGCTTCGCTGGAAGAGGAGTCTTACGGGAAAAAAATAGCAGTCGGGATGGGAAAGGTAGAGAACTGACGAAGAGTGAAGCGGAAAGGGGCGAAGGAGAGCTGGTCTTAGCAATCTGCCCAATTTCGGGGGGGTCTCGCTAAGATCGCCTAGTGAGGCATTTAGTCTAGGCGAGTCCCTTTAGTCTCATTAAAGATAATCCCGGCTGCTAACAAACATGGTATTTCACTCACTATTAATCCTAGCCAATCCAGTGAAACTTAAGGAGGCCAAACAAACACCCCCTATAAGATTATGTTCACTCCATTTGTTTTCTTCATTTGTTTTACCATTCCGCGACGGATTGGATTGCAGCTCTCCCCAATTGACAGTCACACGTGTGAAGCCACAATTGACAGTCACACGTGTCAAGCCATAAAGCTGCCACCTACTCTCCTTAATCTCGTCATAACATGCAAACCCTAGTAAGTGGTGATAGGATATCCGGACCAAATTTTGTGGAGAACGAAAGAAAAACAGAGGAAGCAAACATGGCAGTATTTTCCATATAAAAAAAATGTTATGTTCAACCTCTCCAGATCTTTTCCTCCATCCTCTCAGTCACTCTCTCTTCGATATTTATCTCCGAAAGTCTCCCGCGTCTGCTTCGCCTCCAAATTCTCTGAGGTAACATTTACAGATGTGGATTAGGCTAGTTAGTCAAGCCAATGTGCTCTCGAGTCGAATTCTCATTGTCAAAAATGTATTGATCAAATTTGTTCTGAATTAATTTCAGGGTAAACATGCGGCGGAAGAGAACAGATATGACAACAAGAACTGGATAGACAAGGACCGAGAGTACGGGTCGGCGCACGTGAGCAGCCATGCTATAAAAAACATGGAGTACGAGCAGGAAGCAAAGGAGAAGGCGAAGAGCGCAGCCCAGACAATTGCGGAGAAAGCGAAACAGGGAACGAATAGAGCAGCGAAGACGGCGGAGAGCGCCAAGGAAAAGGCAAAAGAATACGCTTTCGAGACGAAGGAGAAGACCAAAGAAATGGCAGATGCTGCGGCCGGGAAGGCGAAGGAAGGGACTTTTAAAGCAGCCGAGACTGCGGAGAGCGTGAAGGACAAAGCGAAAGAGAGTATGTGGGGTTTGAAGGAGAAAACAGAGGATGTCGCCGGGACGGCGGCGGAGAAGGTGAAGGAGGGGACGAGCAAGGCGGCGGAGACGGCGAAGGACACGGTGAAGGGGAGGTGGGGGGGGGCGGTGAAGGAGACGGGGCAGAAGATTAAGGAGACGGTGGTTGGAGCTCCTGATGAGGAAGTGGGAGTGGCGGTCATTGATGATGATGCTACTAGTCAGAGTGATGTGGAAGTTGGTGTTGATGTGGACGGCGATGGCGTGGCAGAAGGAAAGGTGATGGAAGCGGATATTGGGGAACTAAGGCCGCCTGCCGGCGAGGGACACGGGAAGAAATATTGAGATTTTTTTTTTACTTTTTTGTTTAATTTGCAGCTCTTTTGATTGATTTTTACTTGTTTTTCAAAATGTCCATTCTAATAAACATACTTTACTTTTGTGGTTATTTTAGAAAAATCAAAAATCGGTGAAATATGATGAACAAATTAACTTCCACAATCATCTGTCACATAATATTGCTATTCACAGTTCGAATTAGTCACCGAAAGCTTTGTATTGCCTTATAATTTAACAATTATGCAACTTAAATCTACTTTTTTGTCAAATAATGGCACGTAACAAGAAATAACATTTTTCAGAGCGTTTTTATCATTTGGGTCATCTAATTAGGCCCTATAATTTTCTTTGATGGTAGAGAAAAAAAGAAATATAAATGGAGAAGCGCCTAGGAGTTGACATGATCTCCACATAGATGATCGGGTGTGAAATTATTCAAAAGGATCAATACCAATTCATTAGAATATGATAAGTGCAAGGGTAGATGAATGGGCACAATTGTTATGAATATGTTTCTAGTGTCACCCAAAGGAGGTGACAAATATCATGCTATTTATATGAGCTATATCTAAAATATGCACTACTCTCCTGGGATAATTGGTGGATGTGGTGGAAGACCAACTGACACAATGATTATTTGAAATGGTTGGTTCTTGACGACTTGTTCTTGCTTGAATCGATCCTCGGTGACAGAGAATGGGGCTGCTAGAATTTATTCCTCCACGAAGACCCAAAAAATATAGAGGTTATTTATGAAATAGTTTGGGATATTGGTGAGAACTAAATCTTGTTGTCCTACAAGGTTAACGGGATAAACGCATGTGTAGGTTGAACTCCCTCACATTGTCAGCTTGCCATAGCCAATAGAGAAATTCATACTCTTTCTATACTTCAATCCGATTATGATTAGATTTCCTATGCGCGTGTAGCAGTATTCAGATCGTCAGTTCCTTCTTAGCCTTCATGCATGACTCGATGATTGCTCACAAAATCTGACTCCACCAAACCCACAACCTCTAAATCATCAACAATCGCCAGCTTTGATATGGCACGCCTTACTCCCATCATCTTGTTGTCTGAGATCTCGAGATCTCCACCAGCCTACGATCCACTACAAGCTTAAGGGGAAAGGGTCTTGAATGATACTTGGAACGCACAGCTTGCTCGTCGGGTCTACCATACTAACTCTACTGGGCTTCTCTTCAACGTCTGCAATTGTTGACAGTCTGACCAACTTAGTTTTCAACTTAACTCTCGAAAAACACGATGACATTTCCAACATAAAACCCAACACTTAGTGATTCAAACGTTTAGCATGCACATACCAATATGTGATTCAAATGTTCGATCGCTTCTACTGAAAGCATTAATAGTTATGCTATTATAGAGCTAAAAGGGTTAATGTTGAGAGTGATGGTGCACATGAATGTCTTGCGAAAATAGATCCTTCTGATGAATTAAGAGTTCTTAGTTCAAGTTGTTGTCGAGCTTTTAAAGATGTAAACAAAACATAATTGATTCATGGGTAAATATCAGTTTACTAACCTCAAGTTTTGTGGTTTTCAACATTTGATACATGAAATTTTTTTCGTCCCAGAGTCATACTTAAAGTGTTAATTTTAGGACAGTCTCATACATCCGTTAGTTTGCCTGTTAAGTCTTCCATTAAATGATGATGTGGCGTCCATGTGGACAATGACTGGGCGCCACGTGTTAAGGGGTCCACGTGCAAATTAAAACGTAAAAAAATAATTATTTAAAGAAAAGTTAATAAAAAAAAAAAAACAAAACAAAACAAAACCAGATCGTCTTCCCCAAATCCCCCTCCCCCTCCCCCTCCACCCTTCCAACCCTATCACTCGCAACCACTTCCCTCCCCACTTAACAAAACAGGGGGCTGATGGAGACGAGAATCCAATCGCTGTCACTCAAATTTGACGAAAAGGTCTCAATCGAATCGTTCATAGTATCGACTGCAAGGCTACAACAAAGGGTTACAGCGGAGATTAGGCAGATCAAGAAAAGGCCGAGGGTTCTGATGTGGGAGTTCAGGAGATGAGGGGATCACAGGGGGTGGTGGAGTTGGAGGAGGAGGGCGACGACATGATTTTTGGGATGGGAGAAGGGGGTGGGCTTAGGAGACGACGGTGGGATTTTTGGGAGGGATGATGGGGGATGGGAGAAGATAGGATAGAGGCGCAGTGGGGAGGGAAGTGGTTGCAGGTGAAGAGGGTGGGAGGGTGGGCACGGGAGGGGGGATTTGGGTTTTGCTTTTTTTAAAAAAAAAACTTTTCTTTAAATAATTATTTTTTTAATTTTTAATTTCCATGTGGACTCTTTAATGACATGTGGTGCCCAGTCATTGTCAACATGGGTGCCACATTATCAGTTAATGGAAGCAGACTAACCGATGTATGAGACTGTCCCAAAATTAACACTTTAGGTATGACTCTAGGACGAAAAAAACTTCATGTACCAAATGTTGAAAACCACGAAACTTGAGGATATTAAACTGATATTTACCCTTGATTCATTAAAAGAGATTTTGATGCATATGCGAAAAGATTTCAACACGCTTATACTGCATAAATTATTATTGTATTATCAACATAGCGAATTATGTTGGAGATTACTTTAAAACTATATTTAAACGTGATTTATAAAACTGATATCCGTAATATTTTTCTTTCAATTTTCAACTTCAGGCAAGTAAATAGCCGATTTTTTTATCCTATCAATGCCTAAAACAATAATTTATGATATGCCTAATAATCCGCATACTGTATTATATCTGGAGTAATGTTATTCATACTATGTTTTGTACCACATTTTCATATCATCTTAGATGACATTTGATGTGGTAATCAGAATTTTAAATTTAGTTCATTATTTAATAAACTAATAATTAAGATAAACTATTTAATTAAATGATGAGTGTGGTATACGATGAGTCTTTCTCCTTCATTTCCTTAGATTTTGCAAAATTTTCAAATGATTTAGTTGTCCACATCAGATGTCACCTAAGGTGGTATAGAAATGCGGTACAAAAACATAGTATGAATAGCATTACTCCATATATAATACTATATGCGGATTATTAGGCATATCATAAATTACTGTTTTAGGCATTGACAGGATAAAAAAATCGGCTATTTACTTGTGTGAAGTTGAAAATTGAAGGAAAAATATTACGGAAATCAGTTTTATAAATCACGTTTAAATATAGTTTTAAAGTAATCTCCAACATAATTTGCTATGTTGACAATACAATAATAATTTATGCAGTATAAGCGTGTTGAAGTCTTTTTGCATATGCATCAAAATCTTCTTTAATGAATCAAGGGTAAATATTAGTTAATACTCTCAAGTTTCGTGGTTTTCAACATTTGGTACATGAAGTTTTTTTTCGAAAAACCCCACCCATTGACCAGTACACGTGTCGAGTAACAAGGTTGCCACCTAACCTCCCCAAAATCCTTACAACATGCAACCCCAGAAAATGGTGATATAACATGATTTCACAAACAGAAAACAAAATCAAAAAAGAAAAAGAACAGAAACAGAGAACAAACAGAGCAGCAAATATGGTAGTAATTTCCATGGAAAAAATTGTCATCTTCAACCTCTCCAAGTCTTTTCCTCAAACCCCTTCATCACTCTCTCTCACAAATTCATCTCACAAATTCTCAAGAGTCTGCTTCGTCTCCGCCTCCAAATTCTCCGAGGTAATTGCTTAAGTACGTGATTAACAGTAATACTTGGTGAAGAATGTACGAATCCGACATCGAAAATTTAATTTGATCCATTATGTCTTTGAAATTTAGGGTCTAAATGCATCGGAAAAGAAAAGAGATTCGAAGTCTGACTGGGAATTTTATGACAAGAAGCGGAGGAATGAGGACGTGAATTATAGAGGAAAGGATCCAGCAGATAAACTTGAGGATTACGCACATGAAACAGAGAAGACCAAAAGTGCAAAGGAGAAAGCTAAACAGTACGGTTACAAAACAAAGGAGAAAACCAGAGACATGGCTGACACTGTAGCTGAGAAGGCAAAAGATGAGACTCGTAAGGCGACAAAGATGGCGGAGCATGCAAAGGAGAAGACGAAAGAAAATGTTCAGGAGATGAAGGAGAAAACCAAAGACATGGCGGGCACTGCAGCCGAGAAGGCAAAAGAAGAGACTCATAAGGCCGCAGAGACAACAGAGCATGCGAAGGAGAAGACAAAAGAGAATGTTTGGAGTATGAAGGAGAAAACAGAGGATGTGGTGGAAACGATTGCAGAGAAGGTGAAGGAAGGGACGACCAAGGTGGCAGAGACGGCGAAGGACACAGTGAAGGGGGCGTGGGGGCAGTGAAGGAGACAGGGCATAAGATCAAGGAGACGGTGGTGGGGACTTCATCGGATTCCGAAAATGAGGTGGCGGTGGATAGGGGTTGTTGTGGAGGTGGTGGATGAGGAGGCGAATGTTGTGGAAGTTAGGAAGCGGATTCGGAGGCCTACTAAAGATGACGTGAAGAAACATTGATATTTGGATGAATGGAACTTTGCTGGATATGATGGAAGGAGTTGGAAGGTTAATGTTTACTTGTAGTTAATAAATCAGGGATGACATATTTTAAGTAGCATTAGGGTTTTGATCTTTCTTTTTTCTTTGGCTTTTGAAATGTATATTTTACAACTCTACTTTAGTTTCTTAATATCAAAGAGGACGAATGTAGAAATTTGGGTGCATTCAATCAGAAAATAACGATGATTCAATTTACAGTATTTATGGATAACATCTACGGGTCGAAGGATAGTGATAAGATTTTTACCACCTACAAAAGTAGGGATAAAAACACTTAAAAATAATTGCAAGGGAACAACGTAGTTGTAGTATAAACGGCTCAAGTAAGGTCGTTTTCCGCAGGGATTGAATGAATAATTTGTATTTAAACTAATTCTTAATTAAATATTTGAAAACAAAGTTTAGAAGAGGTTGATTTAATGACCTAAAATATTGAAAACGAATTTAATTAAAAACAACTAAATAAATTGACAAAGTAAAGAAAACAAAAGAAAATAGTTTTGAAAACCAAATTGTAAAAGCCTAGGGTTCCGCCATCCCCTTAACAATCTTATGTAGATTTACTAATTACTTATGAATTACCCATGCAACTTTAAATGTTAGGTTTTCCTAATGCATATTCTACTCGTGGTATTAAAGCTAGAACGTATATCAAACATGCAATCTGTCTGTGGTATTCAAATCAAATATAAACATGCATGACTCATTATGCTTTGTGAAAA